ACAGAAAGGCTAAGTCACTTTCCTAGAGCTTCCCAGCTCCAATCTCAGGTCTCTGCCCACCATACTACACTGCCTATTCTTTATTCACTACACAGCACTGAATAAACATAAATATTTTATAAAAATTAGGGTAGAAAACAAGCTACAATTTTAAAGTGCAGGGGCAGCTAGGTGGTGCAGTGGGGGGCAGTTAGGTGGCGCAGTGGATAGAGCACTGGCCCCTAAGTCAGGAAGACCTGAGTTCAAATGCGGCCTCAGACCAAACGCTTGACACTTACTAGCTGTGTGACCCTGGGCAAGTCACTTAACCTCAATTGCCTAAAAACAAACAAACAAACAAAAAATTTTAAAGTGCAATAATATTAGATATGCTTTGGAAGGAAGAAAGATCCAGAGCTAGAAGAGAGTTCAAAGGTCATCTACTCTAACTCGACTCCTTTTTTAAATTAAGGAAATAAAGTCCAGGTAGACGAAGGTATTTCCAGGTTCAAGGAGGTCATAGAGGTGGCAGGCATCAGAGGCATGATTGGAACCTGGATCCTCTGACTTTCAAGTCAACGCTCTTCACACACTATGCCATACTGCCTTCTGGTCATTAAATTCTGACAGGAATCTTCACGATGTGGTGACATTAGTGTGTTTTTTAATGCTGTTAGTATTGTACTGACATCTTGCTCAAAACTGTGTTTTAAATTTAAATAGTTTTCCTTATATATTAAAAGAATCATTCTGGTATAATGGAAAGAACACTGGATTAAGATCTAAGGTACTTGGATCATTCTTTATGCCATGAGCTACCTAAGCAAATCCCTAAACCTCACTAGCCCTTAATTGCCTTATCTCACCTGGAAAATGAGAGGGGCAGACTAGATCCACTCTAAAGAATCCTCTGGAAGGAACATTCCATTTTTCTAATAGACATTCAAGTCATGAGGTTAAAGTCCAAGAATGACCATGCACTTGCGGGGAGGTCAACTAAATGGTGAGTACTACCCAGGAGGAGATAAGAGAGCCCTGGAATTCTGGACTTGTAAATCCAAACTCAGAATGATGGCAAATAATACGTCATTTTTAGAGTCACACAAAATCCTTGTTATATTCATGTAGCCATGCTGACTGGGACCACTACAAATTTATATTACGTAACCTCAACTAGATCCTTGTTGTAGGAGAGCTCCTCCTTTTGCTTCTCCCTAATTGACTCTTAATCCCTCTCTCCACAAGAGCTGTTCCAAATCTTCCCATCTTTCCTCAAGTTTCTAATAGCACATCCTTCCCATATCATCTCAACTGAGGATCTCATCTCATTACATTCACCAAGAGCTCCCTCTTATCCCCTTCTCTTTCATATTCACCAAAGATCACCACCCCCAACACACACACACATACATTATCACTTCTTTTATTCTAGTCTCAGATGATAAGGTGGTCTTTATCCTTGCTAATGTCAAGTCCTCTACATGTAATTTTGATGTCAATTCCTCCTGTGTTTTCCAACAAGCTGACCCTATTCTCATCCCTACTCCTTCTCTAACTTTCAATTTCTCCTTACCTATAGATTCTTTCCCTGTTTCCAACAAAATTGGCCAAGTCTCTTTCATCTTTAAAAAAAATCCTTCAATAGATATGATTATCCTTGCTATTTATGAACCCATCTCTCTCCTCCCTTTCTTGTGCAGATGATTTGAAAAAGACATTTAAACTTAGGATTTCCACTTCCTCTTTTCTGATTCTCTTCTAAACCCACTGCAATTTTACTTCTTCACTCAATTGTGGCAATACTTTCTAAGTTTAGTAATGATATTATATATATACTTGATTTTTTAACCAGCAAAATTTCCCTTCTCACACTCCCAATAACACCCTTCCAACAGAGAACAAAAGAAAAACAAAATCACTGCTATAAACATGTACAGTCAAGCAAAACATTTTTTTTTTGCATTAGTCGTGTCCAAAAAAATTATGTCTCATTCAGCACTCTGACTCCATTATCTATTAGGAGTTGGGTAAGAGGTTTCATCATGTGTTCTCTATAATCAGGATTGTTTTTTATGCTGATGAGAGTTCCTAATTCTTCCAAAGTTGTTAATCTTTATTTATTATTTTCATTATGTAAACTGTTTTCCTGGTTTTCTTTACTTCACTCTGCATCAGTTCATATAAGTTTTCCCAGGTTTCTTTGAAACCATTTCTTTTATTTTTTAACCTTTTTTTTAAAGCTATTTATTTCTTTTTTGGGAAAAAAAAACAGAACATGTGTTCATTGTGTTCAGAAAAATCTCTTATTTGGGATTGGGTTCTTATTTTTCAACATTAAAGAACTTTGGTTGTTAATATTGTGCATAGAGAAGAAGCATAGCACAGTGACCAGAATGATGGCCTTGCAGTCAAGAAGTCCTTCATTGAAATTCTGCCACTGACATTTAATAGCTGTGTGATGATGGGCAAATCACTTAACCCGTCTGAATTTCAGGCAACTCATTAAAAATCTTAAAGATAGGTTGTCCAATCAAATCATAGGTCATTGATATTGTGACATGATATTTTTATAGGAAATCAATAAATATTTATTTAATGAAAAGAGTGAGTAGGCAAGACAGTCCATGACACTAAATCTCTATACACCATATATGAAACTCTTAGAATAATTTGATTTGGATATTTTGAGGAAGCTATATTCCAGGCAGAGATGGGTGGGAGGGGGTGGTGGAATGAAGGGAAGGAGTTTCAGTTAAGGAAAAGAAAGAGAAAAGAGTTATTCATTCAGGAAACAGTGAGAAGTCCCATTTGTCTCAGGTTCATGTTGAAGGGAGGTTTCAAATATATACTGCAATGCAGAATGCAGCTTGCAACACTTCTAAGTGTAGCCTTTTCATGCTTCTCTTGAGTCGTGTATTTGAAAGTCAAATTTTCTAATCAGCTACAGTCTTTTCATCAAGAATGCTTGAAAGTCCTGCATTTCATTGAATGTCAACTTTTTTTTTTTTCCTGAAGGATTATATTCAGTTTTGCTAGGCAGGTGGTTCTTGGTTTTAAGCTTAGCTCCTTTGGCCGTCAGAATATCATATTGCAAGCCCTCCAATCCCTTAAGGTGGAAGCTGCTAAATCTTGTGTAATCCTGATTGTTTTCCACAACACTTAAATTGTTTCTTTCTGACTGCTTGCATTATTTTCTCATTGATCTGGGAACTCTGGAATTTGGCTATAATATTCCTAGGACTTTTCACTTTGGAATCTCATTCAGGAAGTGACTGGTGGATTCTTTCAATTTCTATTTTACCCTCCGGTTTTAGAATATCAGGGCAGTTTTCCTTGATACTTTCTTGAAAGATGATATCTAGGCTTTTGTTTTGACCATGGCTTTCAGGTAGTCCAAAAATTTTTAAGTTACCTCTCCTGGATCTATTTTCCAGGTCAGTTGTTTTTCCAATGAGATATTTCCCATTGTCTTCTATTTTTTTGTTTCACTTTTTTTGTTTTGTTTTACAGTTTCTTAATTTCTCAAAGAGTCATTAGCTTCCATTTGCTCCATTCTAATTTTGAAGGACTTATTTTCTTCAGTGAGCTTTTGGATTTCCTTTTCCATTTGGCCAATTCTGTTTTTTAAGGCATTCTTCTCCTCATTGGCTTTTTGGACCTCTTTTTTTTTTCTAAATTTGGGTTAGTCTATTTTTTAAGGTGTTATTTTCTTCAGTATTTTTGTGGTCTTTAAAGGAGACTATTGACTCATTTTTCATCATTTTCTTGCATCGCTCTCATTTCTCTTCTCTTAGAGTTTTTCCTCTACTTCTCTTACTTGCTCTTCAAAATCCTTTTGAGCTCTTCCATGGCTTGACACCAATTCATATCTTTCTCGGAGGCTTTGGATGTAGGAGCTTTGACTTTGTTGTCTTCTGGTTGTATGTTTTGATCTTCTTTGTCATCAAAGTAAGATTCCATAGTCTGAGTTTTTTTTTCCCTCTGTTTGTTTGTTCCCAGCCAATTACTTGACTTTTTAACTCTTTGTTAAAGTAGGGCCCTGCTTCCAGTGTGGAGGATGTACAGTCACAAGCTTCAGGGGTTTTGTGCAGCTGTTTTTGGATATACTCGTAAATTTTCAGTTCTTCCAAGGTGGTATGATTAAAGGAGAGTTGTTTACTCCTTTCCTGGCCTATGCTCTGGCCCATGAGTGACCACAAGCCCTCTTTTATGCCTTGGAACTGTGAAGAGGATTTCTTCTCCACCGCTATCACAAACTCCAGCACAGCAGCACTCCTCCTCACCACCCAGGACTGGGATTCAGATCCAAGCACAGGCAAAGCAAGAGAATCCTGCCTCAGCACCAGCAAAGAGATCCCTGAAATGCCCCTCTGAGCAGCAGCTTGATCCCTTCACTGTCTGTGGGCCAAGAATTCTGGAAGCAGCCACCGCTGCCTCCACCTTGGGGCTGTACCAGGGCTAGGGCCAGACCATGCTACTCTTTCACCCAGGTCTGACAGACCTTTCCTATCGACTTTCTAAGTGGCCTTTGGCATTTGTGGGTTGAGAAGTCTGGAAACCACTATAGCTGCCTATGATTCAGTCCCCTGAGGCCTGCTCTAGGTTTGCTGGGGCCCCATCTTTTAGGCCCACGCTGAACTATGCTCCTGTCCCAGTCAGGCACAACAGATCTTTCCCATCAACCATCCAGGTTTTCTTGGGCTGGAAATTTGTTTCTCTGTTTTTTGTGGGTTTAGCTACTCTAAAATTTGTTTAGAGTCATTTTTTACAGGTATTTGGAGGGGTTTGGGGGAGAGCTCAGGCAAGTCACTGCTTTTGCTCTACCATCTTGGCTCTGCCCCCTTCTTCATTACTTTTTTTTTTTAACAGCACATTAGTATTCCATTACATTTTTATACCATAATTTGTTTGGCCATTCTCCAAGTGATGGGTACCCCCTCAGATATCCATTCTTTGTCACTACATAAAGAAAAAAATATTTTCGTACATCCTCAGAGTTCGTTTTGCTTAAAGCTAACTATAAAAATATGGAACACTTCATGATTTGCATGTCACCCTTGTGCAGAGATTATGCTAATATTCTCTGTATCTTTCTGATTTTAGTATGTGCACCACTGAAATGAGTACCTAATGATCTTTTAATTGCTAAAAATCTGATAGACCTTTCTCAGTCCTCATGCCTCTAGGCTTCTTGGCTGCATTTGACTCTGTTGAGAAACATTTCTTTCCTTCTAGATAATCTCCTCTCTCTGAATTTTCCCATCGACATTCTCTTGGCTTTTCTACCTGCCTGACCTCTTCCATTCAGTCTCCTTTATTGAACCATTATCCATATTGTGCCCACTAACTCTGATTACAACCCAAGACTTTTTCCTGGGCCCTATTATCTTCTGTCTCTCTATTCTCTCAATTGGTGATCTGATCAAGCCTTATTATTCACTGATCATCTTTATGCAGATGACTCCCGTTCTTACATATCCAGCCCTCCTCTTTTTCTTGAGCACTAATCAAACATTATCAACTGTCGTTGGTTACTTTGTAACTGGATGATCTATAAGTATCTTAAACTCAACATAAAAGCAGAACTAATTTTCTACTTCCCTAGAACCTATCCTTATTATGAAGTTTCCTATTATCATCGAGGGTACCACTATCTTTTCAGGTAACCAGGTTTGAAGTCTCAGTGTCATCCTCTACACTCTACTCTTACTCACATATCCAGTCAATTGACAAACCTTGTTATTCTTATCTCTACAACATCTCTTGATTATGCCCTCATCTTTCCATTTACACAGTTACCATCCTAGTTAGTTCAGGCTCCCATCACATCTCAATTAGATTATTCCAATAGCCTCCTAATTGCTTTTCATGCTTCAAATTTTCCCCCACAATCTATCATCCACCTCCCCCATAATTTCCTAAAGAACAGGTCTGACCATGTTATCCTACCTACTCAGTCTAGTTTCTACCTATTTTGCTTCTAAGATTAAAAAAAAAAAACTCATCTGTTTGGCCATCAAATCTCTTCATGGTCCAGACCTTTCCTACCTTAGTAGTCTTTTTAGATATTACTCTCTTCCATATATGCTACATTCTAAGTCTGTTATCAGATCCACTGTAACTGTCCCCAAGCCATAGTAAGTAAAGCAAGTTCCATCTGAGTTTCTGGGATACACATCTATAAACACTCACAGCACGGTGAGCTGGACACCTTTAATTAGTCCTTCTGTCACCTGCCTAGTTGATAGTTGGGGAAAAATAAATGTCTTGAGGATTTTTAGCTTTAAGCCACATGCTTTAGTATGAATTGTGTTTGTGAATATGAATTAATAATTGGTACCATTAGCTTCCTACGCAATAACACAAAGGGCTCTTGGCAGCCTGCCAAGAGGAGAGCTATATGAAATAACTTCATAAGAAAAAAAAACATACTAATTCTTTGTTCATAATCTCTGGGAAAAAAAAGACAAAAATTGAAGAGAGGCAAAAGACTTTCCATGAAAGCCTGGCCTGGTTCCTTTATGAAACTAATCTGCAGCTTTTGAACTTTCTTAAGTATCTCCCAGTCCTTCAAAATGACTAGATACTCCTTCTGTGGATTTACATTTGAATCTCCTGGTGTTTGAATTTCTTTTCATTTTTTCTCCCTCATTCAAACATGAAAAGGTTGAGGATAACACTTTGAATGCAGTTTAGGAAAGTCAAAAGAACTAAATAAATTTCTCTTTGCCCCATATCCCATATTGGAGGAGGCCCTTTCCTTTCTTGTCTTCCTGCTTGCTAATATATCAACAAACATCCAATAAATATCTACTCTATTCCCCCTCACTCTGTTAAGCACTGAAGATATAAACACAATAAGGAAATAGGGCCCACCCTCACAGAGCTGATATTCTACTTAAGGAGACAACATGTAAACATATAAATATATACATGACATGCAAAAAAAAATGTCATGCTTAAGCTGAACATTGAAGGAAACAAGGAATCTTAAGTGGCCAGAGGAAAGTAGGAATGCATTCCAGTCATGGGGTAGAGCCAGCCAAAAGGCTCTGGAAGTGGAGCAAGGAAGAACAAGGTTAATCTGTCTACAATGCAGAGTGTGAGAGTAGCATATGAGAGTAACATATAACAAAGATGGAAATTGAGGCAGACTCAGGTTGTGAAGGGCTTTAAAAGTCAATGCGGGTGTTTGGATTTGATCTTAAAGGTAATAGGAAGCTACTGGAGTTCATTGCTGCATCACTAGGCTTGGCTTATGAGACAGAAGTGGATATCTCCAGATGAATGACAGTGGAAGCCAAACTGGCCCCCAAACAAAACTGGGAAAGTGGGGAAACATTACTTTGGACCTTCTGGTCTTCTCATTTTCTATAGTTTCATTCTCCTTTGAGGGCTTATTGTCCTCAAGTCCCCTGCCCTATCCTTCCTAGTAAAACTTTCTCCCAGAAAAGGATCTAAGGAAAGTATAAATAGCAATATCAGAGACTGGTGAGGTTTCAATGTTACCTTTCCCAGGGGCAGTTGCATTGTAACAAAAGACAAAGCCACAGACCAAAACAAAATTAAATCCCTTATGCTTCAGTCTCAGACATTACCAACCTAGAGGAAGAGTTGCATACTTTGAGGTTGGTGGGATGAGGAAACTTCCCAGCATTACTGAACAAATTACATGTAGGCATTATTCCTCCTAAGAATAAGACCGGTCTCTGATCATCTTACAGAGCAACTGTAGAAATGGCTGGGGAGGGTAATACTAACAATAGCATTTGTGGTCTCTGCTTGTCAAAGCCCTTGACAGCCCTATAAATGCAAATTCAGAAAAGTTGCAGTGAGAAATCTATCAACTCCATGACAGAAAGGAAAAGCATAGGTTATTCTTTGTCTTTAAACCATCTTCCTCCACTTCGCTCTCAAATCCTACCCCCTGGAGGGTTGGTGTCCCTAAGCCATTCACAATAGGCACATCGCTGTCTAGTCTCCTCTAAGAGCTTCTCATGGAAGGTTGGGTAAAGGGCAGGGGAGGAGACCACCTTAAACTCATCTTGACTCTACTTTATCATGCTTGAGATTATCTTATGAACTGACAGCTACGTTCTAATAATTTGTATCTCCCAATGCTCTTAGGAGTATGGTATTTCCATAATCTATACTACTAAAAAATTTCCACTGAGTCAGTGACTCCTTGGGAGCTGTGATCCTAAGGACATTCTAAGATAGCATTCAAGGCATTAAAAGTTTTTCGGGTTTCAGAGGAGGGAGAGAAAGATTACTTGAGTGTCTACTCAAGAACACACACTTTTCAACCTTGAAGCTATTCCCTCTCCTCCTGTGAGAAAGAGGCTACTGTGTTTGCTTCTGTCTTTGGAGCCTGTTGTGCCACAAAGTCAGAGACTGGTGGGGCTTTTTGCTTTTCAAATGGCTACAGAATCCCCAGCATCAACAATCCAGCAGCTCTATAATTCTGGTTTGTCATCCTCTGTAAGGATCAAGCTCTAAGCATCTTAAATATGGGCAAAGAGGTGAGAAAAACAGCATGATCCAGATGTATTGAACCCACTCCTTCCTCCACTAATCTCCTTCTCTCCTCTCAAGTTGTGCACCCTCCAGCATCCCTTTGTACCTTTCTTCCCCCTTAATTTAATTCTTTCCATGGGAGGCTGTTTCTGCAGAAGCCCTCTGAGTTTATTGTTTATGTTCTCCTAGTCTTAGGAGATGTGGATGATAAGCAGAAGATGCTAATGTCTATGAAAAAGTTGGTATTTGCCTTGAGAACCCAAGCTTCTGTGAGCTCAAGAAGGAAGCACGACATAGTGGATAGGGCACTTGACTTAAAGTCAGGAAGACCTGAGTTCAAATCCCACCTCAGATATTTATTAACTGTGTGACATTGAACCAATCATTTAATGTCTTTGTGCCTAAGTTTCCTCATTTGTAAAATAAGGGAGGTTGGATTTAATAGCCTCTAATATACTTTCCAAACTATAATCCTATGGATGCAATGTAATGATTGGAGAATACAATGGTTAAGACTGTTGGAAAACTGTGGTATAGTAGAAAGTCTGCTGGATTTGGAACCAGAAGACCTGACTACACATTGTAACTCTGCCAGGTACTATTGGTCTTATTTTAAGCAAGACACTTAAAAGTCTCTGGTCCTTACTGTCTCATCAAATGAAATAAACACTTTGGCCCAGAGGACCTCAACAGACATTTTGAGCCCCTAAATCTATGATCCTTTGAAACAATGACAACTGACATTTATGCAACACTTTATAGTCTACAACATTTTTTGAGCAGAAGAAACTGCATAAGAAAGGTATAAGTAGGTATTCCTATCCCCATTTTACAGATGAAGAAATTAAGGGTCGCATTTAATATCTCTGAACTTAACAAGGGTGAATCAATTTGTCTAAAATTTTACCCTGAACTCAGATATTGACTAACAGTCTTATGACCCTTCCATTACAACTTGCTGGATCTACTCTAAAAAAGGAAAGAAAGAAAGAAAGGAGGAGAGAAAGAAAGAAAGTAGGAGAGAAAGAGAGACAAACACACAGAGAGAGAGAGAGAGAAGAAAGGAAGGAAGGAAGGAAGGAAGAAGGAAGGAAGGAAGGAAGAAAAATTGAGAAAGATTATACCACAATTTTGTCTATTTACTATTGTACACAACACTGAGAAACTCTCAGCCTATAAGTTCTTCTTCACAAACTGATATGGCATATAGGAGGATCACCCAGATGGTGAGACTAGAAGCCATACTATCTGTGTTAGGACAAATTAACAATATTAAGTTATTTAGACGGGAAAAGAAAAGACAGTAGTAAAATGCTAGGTTATTCAAATATTTGAAGAGCTGTCTTTTGTGAAGGAGCAGCTGGTGGTGCAGTGGATAGAGTGTCCGACCTGAAGATAGGTAGACTCATCTTTCTGAGTTCAAATCTGTCTCAGACACTTATTACCCGTGTGACTCTGGACAAGTCACCTAATCCTGTTCGTTTCAGTTCCTTAGCTGTAAAATGAGCTGGACCTCGAGTATCTTTGCCAAGAAAACTCCAAACGGGGTGAGGACGAGTCAGACTTGACTGAAATGACTCAACAATAACAACAATCTATGCAAGAGTAGG